GCTTCTGTCTTTCCTGCAGACACCAAGACCTATCGCGGTGGTGGTAACACCAACCTCCACCTTCCACTGCAGCAGGAGTTGAAAAAGGGGTCAGAAACATGAAGGAGACTCTAGTGGCGTTTTTTTATGGCTGGGTTGGGTTTTTTTTTTTTAATTATTTTATTTATTTTATCTTTGGCTGCATTGGGTTTTCGTTGCTGCATGTGGGCTTTCTTTAGTTGTGGCGAGCGGGGCAGTGCCCGGGCTTCTCACTGCGGTAGCTTCTCTGGTTGCGGAGCACAGGCTCTAGGAGCATGGGCTTCAGCAATTGTGGCACGTGGGCTCAGTAGTTGTGGCTCGTGGGCTCTAGAGCGCAGGCTCAGTAGTTGTGGCGCACGGGCTTAGCTGCTCAGCAGCGTGGGGGATCTTCCCAGACCAGGGCTCGAACCCGTGTCCCATGCATTGGCAGGTGGATTCTTAACCACTGAGCCACCAGGGAAGCCCTCTAGTGGCGCTTTTAACCACCTTATCTTTGCTTAGCACAGAGACGGGATGCCCCGCCACCCGCCGCCGCTGCAGACCCGTAGAAGCAGGGCACAGTGCTTTGTACAGACACTTTCAAGGGGAGGCAGATGAGTAGGAAATGATGGGTGATGTGACAAAGCTCCCTGGAACAGCTGGTTAGGACGACACTCCTGCTAGAACAAGGAAGTCAGATTCCAGAGTTTCTTTTTTTTTTTTTTTGCAGCACGCGGGCCTCTCACTGTTCTGGCCTCTCCCATTGCGGAGCACAGGCTCCAGACGCGCAGGCTCAGCAGCCATGGCTCACGGGCCCAGCCGCTCCGCGGCATGTGGGATCTTCCCGGACCGGGGCACGAACCCGTGTCCCCTGCATCGGCAGGCGGACTCTCAACCACTGCGCCACCAGGGAAGCCCCAGAGTTTCATTTTTTTAAATGGGGCCTGTGTAACTTTCCTCCACTCCTGTTCTCCTGTTCTCCTGTTCCAGGAGTGTGGCAGGGCTGCCTGCGTTACCTTTTATAGGAAAGGTCACCCTGAGGTCCAAAGCCGGCGGTCACTGACCCATCGACAATGTTCCTTGAGGTCCGATGACGGCACTGGCAAATCTGGTGGGGTGTATCAGGGTTTGAAAACAAGGATAGGAAGTATTTTGAATATTCAGGTGATTACAGCTGAGACACTGGGGAAATGCAAGCTACCGAACTGGTTTCCCCGGCGCACGTGTGAGGGCTGCTTGCACAACCGAATGGAAACAGCAGAGCCTACTGGCTCCACGGAGACAAAGTGGTGATGGGAGATCAGGTGGGGATCGCCGGGCCCAAGATGCAGTTTATACTGATTTTCGCTTTCCAGATAAAAGTACCTACAACTTGAAATCAGGGCTGGAATAAATCTGTGATGTTCAGCTAAATGAGAGTTTGTTTTGTTTTTAAGATACAGAGGCATGAAGAGATGAACTGTTTGGATTTGGACTTCAGGAGGAGCTCAGCCTGGCACCCTGTGGAGACATCTTTGAAGCATTTCAGAGAGGGACCAATATTCTTAAATTTATTCCCGAAACACTCAGGCTGACGCACACAGGTAAATCGATAGGATGTCTCAGGCATCCTATGGTGTTGACGATGCACAAAATCGATAGGAGTTATGACGGCTTTCAGGTGATCTGGGTAAACTCGCCAAGGGTTTTGACTGATTTGTTCAAAATGAGAGACAAATCGGGTATACCACAGAAACTGTCCAGAAAATGAGGACAGTGGACATGAGGCAAGGGAACCTGTATCGTGTCTTTTATTTTACGTATATTATAGTGTTTGGGGATCTTAAAAAACTTGCTGGCTGGGAAAGACGGGCTGGCCATTTTTTAGGGATAGCAAAGGGCCCAGCTGAAGCACGCCTGTGATGTGCAAACTAGCTGATCCAGAGCCAGGCCTCCTGTCTGGCCTGTGCACCCCCAGGAGGCACTAGTCCTCTGCCTTAATCAGCCCAGGGCAAAGGCACCAGGCAACCAAGGGCCACCCCTATAGCTCAGAGGCCACTGAAATGATTCACACTAGGCAGTCCTAAGCTGTTCACCTTGCCCTGCCTTTCCTGCAGAAATCCCAGCAAAGGCCGTGGCCTCAGCTCCCCCCCGCTCACTTGTCTTTTGCCTCCTGACCGCCCTGGTGCTTCCCCACATGGCCCTGCTGGCGAGCTGCCTCCCATTCTGAGAAGCTGCAAGTATAATAAGCTTGGTTTTCCTGAGCCTCTCCTGTGTTTTCTCTTGTGGCTGCCACCTGACTGACATCCCATTCAAGAACAGGGAACAGAGCCCACCCGTGTAAGAGCCACGTGTTAAACACCGATTACAGGCCAGGTCCTGGGAGGCACCCAGGTACAGCGTTTAACTGAACCCTCCCTGCTCCAGAGTCACTCCCATCAAGGTGGGACGAGCCCAGGGGGGCAGCCCTCTCCTCTCCTTTCTGTCTTCACCCCTCCTTCCCCCCCCCCCCCCCGGCCACTGGCAACCTCTATTCTACTTTCCTCTATTCATGTCTCCATGAATTTCCCCACCGAGTGCATACAGAGGGTCAGTATTTCACCGAAGGCATCAGAAGAGACGGGCTCTTTTATTCCAAATATTGAATGAACGGTTCACAGCGTTAAGGGTTTCGTTTTTTTGTTTACTGAGTAGAAAATAACATGCTTGATATCACACAGTAGGAAATCAGCATCTTAATAACTTACCAAAAACTATTTAAAATTCACACACCTGATTTTCAGGGAAGTCTGTCATTCGTCTCATTTGTTACAATATATCCTAGCTTTGCATCCAGCACGATGCAATGCAGTATTACAGTGATTTTTATCATTGTACCAGCATACACAAATACAGATCAAGCGTTGTAAATAAAATATATTTAAAGTGGCGATCCAAACCTAAAATGGAAAAGGGACTCCTCTTTGAAGGTGTAATCATTTTCTCCAATGTACCTGGGACATATACTTTTCTTCATCGCGTGTGATCAATGTTTGATGACTTGTCGCGATGGAGGGCTTCGTTTCCATCGGGCAACTCTGAAATGCGTGGCCCAAACACAGCATCCTAGCACGTGGCTTTGGGGTCACTGAGTTACGGCTGTGTGAACACAGATAAACAAGCTCGCACATGAGTGAGCGCTGCCCGGGCACAAATCCCGCTTTCCGAAGCCACAAGGCAGGTGTGAATGTCACTGCCTCTCCAGGGGTCACACTCTGAACCTGACACAGACCCGAGTGCGACTTTCTGGAAGGCGTGCTCTGTTTCAGAGGGCAGTGGCGTGGAAGCTTAGGGTGCATCAAAATTGGGGGGTCCAAAGTTGCATGCTCTTGCGAGAGGACTACCGCTGGTCGCCTTCTACTTAGTTCAGAGCAGTTAAAGTTCACCCCAGAATACCCTCGTGACAGAAAGAATGAATGTAGCCTCTGAAGGTCACTAATGGCTAGCCCAGGTTAAGGCAGGTCTATTTTAAATCATTTTTAATGCCTCCAAAAGGTCATCTGCACATGCGGTGTGTGCTGCTCCGCGAATCTGCGACCAGCTACGCACGGGTGTTTGCGTTTCTCTGGGTGGCCATGCGAACCGCTCGGGAAAGGCGTTCGCTGCCAGCAGAGCCCACCGGCGACAGGGGAGGCAACACCTCTGGGTTTTCTTTCACAGAAAGAGTAAAACTGCATTCAACTGTTTCACTGTTTGCCTCCATGACTCTAACCATGCGATTTAAATAGGAGAGCATCTCAACCACTGGAGGAAAACGCTCTTTAAAAAAATAAGAGCTCGAAAAGCGAAATCTTTTTACCAAAATAATTCTTTCACTTTTCAAATTATTCTCTTCTCCACAGGCCAATTTAACAAACAAGTCAAAGAATCGTCTTCTACCGGCTTGACGAATGTCACTCAAATGACTACTTATCCACTTGCCCTTAAATCTGAGTGGGAGAAGCTAAGGGAAATAAAAAGTATGACTCATAAATTCCAAAAGAAGGTCAGTGTTGTGAGAATTACAGAATAAGGCTCTTTGGATGGTCTAACACGTATATCTTTTTAACGTATTACTGACAGTTATAATAGAAAGAACATGGCTAAAATGCTTCTAGCAGTAACGCAATCAGAGTAAGGTAATAAATAACACTATCTACAAAGAATATAATTTAAATTCTTCAAACTATTTTCTCAAAACCAACCAGTTTCTGTTGAGAGCTCCCAAAAGAAACTGACACCATCACCGCTTGGCACGAGCTCTGCGCGAGCCCACGTTTTCAGCAGCGCGTTGCCACACAGGTTGCCGGCAGAGTGTCGAACTGATTCGAAATACTGCCCTAATAATATTTCCTATAATCTGAACTTAAGGCATCGCAGAGTTACAGGGAGCTGGAAAAAGCACATTCTAAATAAAACGTCTGCCACGGGTGCGTTAAGGCATAAATATTCCAGCCTTGTGCCACAAAAATAGGGGAAAAGATGCCAGTTATATAGGTTACTAGCTTTAACCAGAGGAATTAAAACCATCAGACCAGTCGGCAAACACAAGGGGACATCCGCAAGGTCAAGGCCCAGAACGGTGGGGTTTGGAGTCCCTTCCGAGACCTCAGATTCAGGTCACGGGACCCTGCACAGCCCTCCGCGTGGCACAAATGTGTCCCCCACTCTCCCAGAAGTCGTGCACACCCGGTGCCCCTCCTTGCATCCCGTCATCCCAGGGACCCCCGCTTCACAGCCCATCTTGCATACTAACCGCTCCCAGCCTGCAGCAGGCTGGGGAGGGCAGCGCTGCCACGGGCTTGAAGCTTCAACCGGGCATGGTCTCCCCACCAGGGACGCACCCGACGCCCCGTCTAGGACGTACACATCACTTAGAAATGTCAACCCCGGCCAGGGGGACCGGGAGAGAAATGCTCCTCTGCTCTTAAGCAAATGACTGCAGGTTCCCAAACCTATCCTTTAATGGGGGCGCCTGATCTCCACAGGATGTCGGGAGGTGGCCCGGAACGTACTATGCTGATGCAGAATGAACGTCCTGGTTTTCAAAGGGTGGCGGTGGTTCTCTCCAAAAGGTGAAGTTACTGAACGTATCTGAACAGGGAAAGTCTGAAGAATGGCTCCTTTTCAGCAAGGGGAAAACGTGGTCGACCACCTCGCAGAGTCTCACATACCTGGGAGGAAGATGGACAACGTCACCGCCTGGGAGGGACACTCGGCCACGCGGGACACCAGCACGTACCCCCCGAGCGGTGCCCGGGAGTCAGGAGGGATCCAGGACCCCCAGGAATGGACCATGTGCTTAACACGAGGGAGGCTGTTCTAGAATAATCCCTCACTAATTAACGGGAAACCAGAGAGTCTGCCAAGGAGGGGAGTCGGAGACGGCCTCATGGGCGAGGCGGGTGTGACCTGACTTCACTCAAAGGAGCAGAAGCAAGACAGCATGACAGACGTACAGCCGCCCACCTTGGGGGCAGTGGAGACAAGAATCGCAGAGAAGGCACATCTTCGGAGCGTCACCCAGAGGCTGCCTCACTGTACAATGAAAGGGCGCTGGGCCCTGGGGTTAGGAGACTCCGATCTGACCTTCAGCTCTGCCATTTATGGGCTGTGCCACCCCCGACAAGTGGCTTCATCTCTCTAAGCCACGATTCCCTCAACAGTAAAGGGAGAAAATGAAAACTGTGCACAGTGCTCACGTGAGAATTAAATTAGATAACGTATGCCACGGTAAAATAATGTGAGCCGACGCTCCGTAAATGTATTCAACAATAAATCATGAACACTACAAAATAATTCGCCCTGGCTAATTGTCAGCCTCGGGAAAAAAAGCCATAGTTGGCATGAGGGTCAAGAGACCTGGGTCAAGACTCCCGCCTTACTGCTGTGGAACCCTGGGCAGGTGTCTTGCCCTCTCTGTGCCTCAGGTCCTTATGAATATGGCCCTGGACCTGATCAGTGTTTCTCAACGCTCCCTGCAAGACTCTCTCACTCTGTTTTCTGTGTATTCCCAAGAAGATGTTGCGTATTAGTTTCTGTGGCCTAGAACTACCAAAAGAAAGTTGCTCTACTGAATATGCATTCTCAGACCTCCAGGCACCTCCAACCAGAAACTGTGACAAGCCCAGGCCTCCCTGCGTATCCTCGGAGTCCTCCCTGACAGCCACCGGTCCCTCTCCAGCTCTAATTTGCTAAGAACCAAAAAGGCTTTTGAAATCCAAACTCAAGGAATTAGCATGTTCTGAGGCATAAAATAACTTTTAAATAAGGATGAATGTGTGTGTATTTAATAAAGGACCTCCAAAGAACTTATGAGAAACACTGTGCTTGCACAAAATGGGGAAAATCTCTCTTAATAAGCAAGAATCGTCCTTCCTAGGGATGAAAACAAAATTTTAAAATACCTTCTGGCTTGGAGACCTGTTTGAGTTTTGTGGCTCTGGAAGGGGGCCCCTCCCTGCAGGGGGCAGTTCATGGCTCATCATCAGGGTTCGGGGGCACCAGATCCAAACCCGCTCCGTCTGTGCCTCTCTCGGACCAACCCTCCACGCACGGGGCTCCTTCAGAGCAGGCAGAGCTCACGCACTGCTGGCCATAAATGCCAAGAAGAAAAGCACTGAAGTGCCCCATCGGCGTGGGCCCCTGACTTCTCCGAGACAATGTCCCCGCTTCCAAGGGGCAAGCACCCACTTGGCTCTGAAATGGTGGTACCGAGTTTGGTGCCACCAGAGAAAAGTGTGTGCTTAAACTGGGGAAGGAGAGCCTCTCTCCCACAGGGAGGATCACATCTCCCGGTCTAGGCAGAAGAAGACACCATTCCTTGGCGATAAATAAAGTTTCCTCCCCCAGGGCGTGGGCAAAGCGTGCATTTTCACCCCAGCGTCTCAGCCAACGGGATAACCTCAGAGGCCTCCCGGGCAGACCTTCGTAGATGCTGGCATCGCCCTTTCAACACCCCTTATGACAAGACGTGCCACTGGGCTGCTGCCTGGGCAGAAACCTTTCTCACTTCAGGGCAGTGTGCCATCAGCTGAGAGTTCTTTTGACCCTAAACGGAAATCCGCTCTCCTCGAGACCGAGGAAACGCTTTCACGTGGGGAACGACGGAGAAGAGAGAACTGAGACGTTATCAGGGCGGCCGCTCAGAACTCAGGAGAGGGAGAAACCGTAAGGAGAGGGGTGTGGAAGAAAGAGTCCCTGCTGTCGTTCTGCCCATCAGGCAGCACCGGCACGGCCTCCCCTTGTGAAGGATACAGGTGGGTCCTGGCTCCCCCGCTCCCCTCTCGCCCCACATACCCTGGGAACTGCTTACTTAGGTCCTGGCCTGGCTATGGGGGAGGGAGGCTTGGGGAGGCAGACCCCAGGGCGCCCTCTAGCCTGGAACTATCCTGTTTAAGCTGGATTAGACTCCCAATGGGTAAAAGGATCATCTTGAAAGTGAAAATCTGCCCTAGGGGAACCCAGATCTCTACCAAACAAAAAGACCAATCCCTGGGTTTCCCTGGTGGCGCAGTGGTTGAGAGTCCGCCTGCCGATGCAGGGGACACGGGTTCGTGCCCTGGTCCGGGAATATCCCACATGCTGCGGAGCGGCCGGGCCCGTGAGCCATGGCCGCTGAGCCTGTGCGTCCGGAGCCTGTGCTCCGCAACGGGAGAGGCCACAACAGTGAGGGGCCCGCGTACTACAAACAAAACAAAACAAAACAAAACAAAACAAAACAAAAAAAACAAAAAAACAAAACAACAAAACAAAACAAAAAAAACCAATCCCTGGGAAGCCGCTAGACCCAAACTCCCCCAGTCCAACTCCACATAAGGAGGGCCCCAGCAGGCCCACTGGGGTCGCTCAGGCCAGAGGCCGTTCTCCAGGTCTGCAGGGACCAGGCCAACAGGGGTACGGCCTCTGAAACGGACAAGGCAGGACGACACCTGTCTGCCCGACATCACCCAGTGGGCAAAGCTGAGGAAACACTCTCCACTCTAAGAAGTCAGGAACCCAGAGAGAGACATATCCAAGTCAAGGGAGATTCCCGGCCAGCCAGGAGGCCTCACTGCAAACAGTAACCCAGTTCAGCCCACGGCCTCGGGGAGAATGCGCTTCGGCCAAAAATACGAGAATTCTTACCGTCACATAGCCATGTTTCTGGTGAGAATATTATTACGGGTCAGTAATGTGAAGGGCTACATAGGTTCTTCATCTTTAAATATATCTTCTCATGATATTTTCATCTGGCTATATTTCTAATTCGCATTCTAGGCTTTCAAAACGAATTCGGCAAATGTAAGCCAGTAGTTTTCAAATTCATGCCATTCCACTCTGCAGCAGCATCTAACCACTCGTTTAAATTTTCGACCCGGTGGGGATCTGATTTGATAATGCAGGCTGTCCAAAAGTTAGGTTCTGGACAAAATCCGAGACATTAACATATGTTTTCCTTGTAGGAATTAAAGATTAAAATATAGGCACCGAAGGATTAAAAAGGTATACTGTTGACTGTGAAACACCACTCCAAGGTCAAGATGATGACAACAGGTAATGACACAGCGATGACAGCAAGGGTGCACAATACTCACGAGGAGACGTTGGTCTTCGCGTGCTCCTGCACCAGCTCTCCTTTGGGATTGACGGTGAATATCCTGTTCAGAGACACTCCCACTTGCTTGTACGAGTACACATCCTATATTTGGTAAAGTGTTAATGAGAAGAAAAGAGTTCATCGTAAATACGAATATTTCAGATTTGATACAAATACAGGCAGACCGCAGAGTTACTGCGGGTTCAGTTCCAGACACCACGACAAAGCAAATAAAGCCAATCATACGAATGTTTTGGTGTGCTGGTGTATATAAAAGTTATGTTTACACTACACTGTACTCTATTAAGTACGCAACAACTTTATGTCTAGAAAAAGTGCATACAAAAAACACTTTAGGGCTTCCCTGGTGGCGCAGTGCTTGACAGTCCGCCTGCCGATACAGGGGACGCGGGTTCGTGCCCCGGTCCGGGAAGATCCCACGTGCCGTGGAGCGGCTGGGCCCGTGAGCCATGGCCGTCTGAGCCTGCGCGTCCGGAGCCTGTGCTCTGCAACGGGAGAGGCCACGACGGTGAGAGGCCCGCGTACCGCAAAAAAAAAAAAAAAAAAAAGTTTAAAGAAACACTTTATTGCTGAAAATGCTAACCCTTATCTGAGTCTTCAGCGAGCCCTAGCAGTCACATCAAAGATCACTGATCCCAGATCACCGTAATGTATAAAATCATGAAAAAGCTTGAAATATCACAAGAATTACCAAAATGTGACACAGAGACAGGAAGTGAGCAAATGCTGTTGGAAGAATGGTGCCGACAGACTTGCTCGATGCCACAAACTTTCAATTTGTAAAAAAAAAAAAGCAATATTTGCAGAGTGTAACAAATCGAAGTGCAATAAAACGAGGTCTGCCTGTGTTATAAAACTTTCATTAAACTCGAATAATACCTCCAAGTAGTGTAGAGAAAGAATGTCTCTGGATGTGAAACTAGTAAGTAAGTTGTCCTCTCTGGGCCTCAGTTCACCCCTCTATACAAGAACTGAGTTAAAAAGTAAACCACCTCCTACATGCCCTGCAATTCTAACATTCCTTAAGGTTACTCTGTGACCCATTTTCTGGGGCATGAGTTTCAAAAGCAGAATTTTCTGACTGGGAAGTAAGTACCCAACTACATTCTCCAGAATGCTGACCTTTCTAGCAAATTTGGGAAGTACGCACAAAATCTCAAAGTATTACTTTTACCATAGGAAATAACAGTCTTAAAACTTGCGACACTGAATTCACCTTTGTGCTTTGTGGTCCCATTCCGGTAGAAAGGGTCTAATTCTATTTAATGTTCTTGTTTTACTCACTTAGCAAGCAATTTGGAATTTAAAGTTTCTAGTTTCAAACTGAAACCCACAAGCCCACCTTCTAAGAAAACTAGAGGCCACGAAAGAATGACGATCTCCTTGCCCTTAGATGTAGGCAAGCGGCTCTTTAGCAGTTATTTCTAGTAGTAGGAGAATCTGGCTTCACATGGGAGTCTAGGCTGGCCTTTCAGATGACAGACAGTAATTTCAAGAACTCGTATATACCCAACTACTACTTACAGCGGGTCGGTTTCCAAAAGCAGCATAAAAGGGTTCTGTATTTGGAGAAAACAAGTTTTTGATGTCTGTCAAACACTGGACTTTAAACTTCTCTGGCTTCTTTTCGATCACTTCTCTGTTAAAACAAATAAATAACGGCTCAGCACGAGAGCATCAGCTTCATTAGCATCAACCTACTTTTAACCGTCAAAGGTGCTGGGATACTAAGAGCGCTTTCTTTCGTATCTTCAGAAGTTAAATATGCGTAAGTCGGTTAAGCCATCCCAGAGAAGCGCTAGACAGAAAGTGAATCCGTACTTTCAAGTCTTCCCACAAGGAAAACACCCCAGACAAGTGATTTTGACAAAGACCTCCACCAGTCATCCAAGGAACAAAGAATTCCAGGGCACAGAGGAAGAGAAAACCTCTCCAGACTCACTTCACGAGGCCAGCATGACCTCAAAAACTAAACCGAAAGAGGTAGTAAAGTATGGGGAAAGTGTGGGCCAATCTCACTTGGGAACACCAGTGCAAAAATTCTAAATGAGTTAAAAACGAATGGATCAAGAAGATGCGGCACATATACACACAATGGAATATTACTCAGCCATAAAAAGAAACGAAATTGAGCTATTTGTAATGAGGTGGATGGACCTAGAATCTGTCATACAGAGTGAAGTAAGTCAGAAAGAGAAAGACAAATACCGTATGCTAACACATATATATGGAATTTAGGGAAAAAAATGTCACGAAGAACCTAGGGGTAAGACAGGAATAAAGACACAGACCTACTGGAGAACGACTTGAGGATATGGGGGGGGGAGGGGTAAGCTGGGACAAAGTGAGAGAGAGGCATGGACATGTATACACTAACAAACGTAAGGTAGATAGCTAGTGGGAAGCAGCCGCATAGCACAGCGAGATCAGCTCAGTGCTTTATGACCGCCTGGAGGGGTGGGATAGGGAGGGTGGGAGGGAGGGAGACACAAGAGGGAAGAGATATGGGAACATATGTATATGTATAACTGATTCACTTTGTTATAAAGCAGAAACTAACACACCACTGTAAAGCAATTATACCCCAATAGAGATGTTAAAAAAAAAAAAACTTTATTGCAATATATTAGCGAAGACCTAAATAAATGAAGAAATATACCATACAATTGAATTGGAATATTCAATATTATGAGATATCAATTCTCCATTGGTCTACAGATTCACTGTCATTTCAGTTAAACTCTCACCAGGTTGCTGTCTGCATGTTTTTATAGAATGTGACTCAAATTGCTATAGGGAGGAACGAAGGCCAGAAACGGAGGCATACATTTACGGGCTTTCAATTTATGACCACAACAAGTCAAAGCAGAGAAGAAGGGCACTCTTTTCAGCAAATGGTGCTGAGACAACTGAATATCCATACAGGCAAAAAGAAAAAGAAAATGGACCCCTAGTGCACTCTATATACAAAAATCAATTCCTGGTGAATTACAGACCTCAATGTGAAAGGCAACACCTTTAGGTAAAATATAGGAGACTTTCCTCAGGCCCACAGTCAGGGAAGGCTTTGTCAACACACAGAGAGAACAAAACTACCGGGGAAATGATCTGTTCAACTAAAGGCAACTCAGATTTATGTTCTTCAAAAGCCATAAACTGGGGAAAGGTATTTGTAGCGCTCGTAACAAAGGCTACGTGTGCACAGTCTATAACACTCTTACAAATCAAAAGGAAGATAAGGGAAAGACGTGAACAGACACTTCACAGAAGATGAAGCCCACACGGCCAATAAACGCGTGAAAAGAGACATTTCTTACCCACCAGAGTAGCAAAAATGTAAACGGCTGACAACACATAGGTAAGAAAGTAGAGCCGATGGAAGGAACACTTCGCACTGTTTGCTTCTGGTGTACAAACTGGTTCAACTACTTTGGACAACAGTTTGCAACGGCCAAAGAAGACCACACATGTGCATGCTCTGTGGCCCAGCAATCCTGCTCCTGGGGGTATACCCTGGAGTACACTGCACAGGTGCCCCCAGAGGACACACACAGGCAGCACTGCACCTGAGAGCAGAAAACCGCAAGTGGCTCAAGCACCCACCAACAGCAGAAAAGATAAGCGGGCTGTGGTGGAGTCTAACAACGGGACCTACACAGAAGCAAAGAGGAGCCAGTTACAGCGACTCTCAACAATCCTGGGAACGTCACGTTGAGCAGTAAAAGTGAGTTCCGGAAGAACATATGATTCATTTACATAAAGTTCACAAATGTGCACAATTCAACATACTGGTTAGGATCACACATACACGTGCTAACTATTTAGAGGAGCAGGGAATGACTAACGCAAAATCCAGGGATAGCAGTTACTATTACGGCTCGGAGGGTGGAGTGAGAGCACATCCTCTCGCTTTATCTCGGTCGTGGGCAGGCTGGTGTTCACTGTCTGATTATTGGATGATCTCAAGGGTCCCTTTCAGCTTGCGTATATTACAGAGATACTGCATATTTATCTATCTATCTATCTATCTATCTATCTATCGACAGATGCCTTGAATATATTTTTTAAACTATTCTTCCGTGCCTCAACAAATCGTAATTTAGATGATGCTAATGCTGATGAGCCCCAAACTGAGTGTCAGAAGGCCCAGGGGCTGGTCCTGGCTCTGCATGGACTTCTATGGACTCCAGAACCCTCCTTAGCACTAAAAGGGCCTTACAGTCTACATCTCAGGACTCTTATACAGAGACACATGAGTGACTGTATGATTATAAGTCTCAAACTTCAATCCACTGCTTTGAGAGCAGCTCGGGACACTGCCCTGGGCCCCCAGCTCCAGGGAGGCCGCTGCTTTCCTGTCCCCCACCAGGAGGCCAGACTTAGTTTGGCTTGGCTGCCCTGAATGCGGGCATGAAAGGGAAGGGGAGAGGGTCATCAGAAATGGGCTGGTGTTCAACACCCACTTATGATAAAAACTCTCCAGAAAGTAGGCATAGAGGGAGCTTACCTCAACATAATAAAGGCCATATATGACAAACCCATAGCCAACAGCGTTCTCAATGGTGAAAAACTGAAACCATTTCCTCTAAAATCAGGAACAAGACAAGGATGCCCACTCTCACCACTGTTATTCAAGAGAGTTTTGGAAGTTTTAGCCACAGCAATCAGAGAATAAAAAGAAATAAAAGGAATTCAAATCGGAAAAGAAGAGGTAAAGCTGTCACTGTTTGCAGATGATGTGATACTATACACAGAGAATCCTAAAGATGCTACCAGAAAACTACTAGAGCTAATCAATGAATTTGGTAAAGTTGCGGGATACAAAATTAATGCACAGAAATCTCTTGCATTCCTAGACACTAATGATGAAAAATCTGAAAGGGAAATTAAGGAAACACCTCCATTTACCACTGAAACAAAAAGAATAAAATACCTAGGAATAAACCTACCCAAGGAGACAGAAGACCTGTATGCAGGAAACTATAAGACACTGATGATAGAAATTAAAGATGATACAAACAGATGGAGAGATAAACCATGTTCTTGGATTGGAAGAATCAACCTTGACAAAATGACTATACTACCCAAAGCAATCTACAGATTCAATGCAATCCCTATGAAACCACCAATGGCATTTTTACAGAACTGGAACAAAAATTTTCACAATTTGTATGGAAACACAAAAGACCCCAAAGAGCCAAAGCAATCTTGAGAAAGAAAAACGGAGCTGGAGGAATTAGGCTCCCGGAATTCAGACTATACTACAAAGCTACAGTAATCAAGACAGTATGGTACTGGCACAAAAAAACAGAAATATACATCAATGGAACAGGATGGAAAGCCCAGAGATAGACCCACACACATATGGTCACCTTATCTTTGATAAAGGAGGCAAGAATATACAATGGAGAAAAGACAGCCTCTTCAATAAGTGGTTCTGGGAAAACTGGACAGCTACATGTAAAAGAATGAAATGAGAACACTCCCTAACACCATACACAAAAATAAGCTCAAAATGGATTAAAGACCTAAATGTAAGGCCAGACACTATCAAACTTTTAGAGGAAAACATAGGCAGAAAGAACACTCTATGACATAAATCACAGCAAGATCCTTTTAGACCCACCTCCTAGAGGAGAAACGGAAATAAAAACAAAAACAAACAAATGGGACCTAATGAAATTTAAAAGCTTTTGCACAGCAAAGGAAACCATAAACAAGACAAGAAGACAACCCTCAGAATGGGAGAAGATATTTGCAAACAAAGCAACTGACAAAGGATTAATCTCCAAAATATACAAGCGGCTCGTGCAGCTCAATATCATAAAAACAAAAAACCCAATCCAAAAATGGGCAGAAGACCTAAACAAACATTTCTCCGAAGAAGATATACAGATAGCCAACAAACACATGCAAGGATGCTCAACATCACTAATCATTAGAGAAATGCAAATCCAAACTACAATGAGGTATTACCTCACACCAGGCAGGATGGTCATCATCAAAAAATCTACAAACAATAAATGCTGGAGAGGGTGTGGAGAAAAGGGAACCCTCCTGCACTGTTGGTGGGAATGCAAATTGATACAGTCACTGTGGAGAACAGTATGGAGGTTCCTTAAAGAACTAAAAATAGAACTACCATACAACCCAGCAATCCTACTACTGGGCATATACCCTGAGAAAACCATAATTCAAAAAGAGTCATGTACCACAATGTTCACTGCAGCACTATCTACAATAGTCAGGACACGGAAGCAACCTAAGTGTCCATCGACAGATGATGTGTGCTAACACATATGTATGGAATTAAAAAAAAAGCTTCTGATGAACCTAAGGTCAGGACAGGAATAAAGACGCAGACGTAGAGAATGGACTCGAGGACACGGGGACAGGGAAGGGTAAGCTGCGACCAAGTAAGGGCGTAGCACGGACATATGTATGCTACCAAATGTAAAATAGACAGCTAGTGGGAAGCAGCTGAATCACAAGGGGAGATCAGCTCAGTGCTCTGTGACCAACTAGAGGGGTGGGATAGGGAGGGTGGGAGGGAGGGAGACGCAAGAAGGAGGGCATATGGGGATATATGTATACGTATAGCTGATTCACTTGGTTATACAGCAGAAACTAACAGACCATTGTAAAGCAATTACAGTCCCATAAAGATGTTAAAAATAAATATATAAATATTTTTAAAAATAACCAATGAAAGAAAAGAACTGGGCTGGTGGTCTATAAAAATAAACGGTGTGACCAGGACTCCTCGTTAAGGGAGGTCTCAGGCCAGGCAGGTGGTGATGGTGGCTGGTAGAGGGGCCACTGGACCCAGCCGAGGTCCCCGATTGGACGGGGAAAGCACAGATAAGAGTCCCAGAGTCACTAAGACTCAGGCCAGCGATGCAGGGAGAGGGGCAGCTCCCCACGAAGGAGGGCAGCACGTGTTAAGGCTCAGAGCAGAGACCATCTCTCTGGACAACGGAGACAGCTCAGCACGACTGCATCCCAGAACCCGGAGAGAATGAGACGGGAGAGGAGGACAAGGCGGGTGGTGAAGAGCCCGTGATGCCGAGCTCGTGGCCTCGGGCTTTCTCCCGAGGGCCGTGATGAGCCAGCGAAGGATGCTGATGGGTGACGAGGCCAGACCCGCACTTGAGGCTGAATCTCCGGGGCCCAGCACGGAGCAGGGGTGTCGGCTGGGAGGACGAGTAAAGCAGCTATTCTGGCAAAACCTCTGGTGAGCGGGAGAGGGGTCCCGAGCCGGCCCAGCGGTGCGGGGTGGGGGGCGGGCAGGCTGAGCCCTCACCTGTGCAAGGCGGAGAAGAGGCTACTGGGGCTGAGGAGCAGCGGCCCCTGGGGCAGCACCGTGCCCCGCTCGTTGACCCAGTGCAGGTAGCCCCGCGTCATGTCCGCCATCCCGATGGCCCGTGCGGAGCAGTAGAGAAACTTGTACCCGTTTCTGGAAAAGAGACGAAACGTTCCCGCTTAACAGCATCACACGATGGAGCCATCTCGCGTGCACAAACCCTGATCTGTATGTTTCAGGAGGAAGGGCGCTGCTCTAATTCCCAAGCAAAAGGCCGCGTTCTATAAAATCTTAATGGAGAAAGAAGCCTGAACGCCTTTCCCTGCCGTTTGCTAAAGGACCCTCACGGCCTCACTCGGTTTAATCCTCACGGGAACCTTGTTCAGTAGGTGTCTTCCTCTCGCTTTACAGTTAGGGAAACTGAGGCCGGAGGCATCAAACTGTCCAACTTAGCTGCACCCGGACCATTCATACATCTCCATCTGGCTGTTCAGCTGTATCCTTTATAATACCCTGATAACATAGACCGGTGAATGCATTTCCCCAAGTCCTATGAGCCGTCATCAAACCTGGGGAGGGCATGTGGGAACCCTCACTTTGTAGCCGAGTCAGGCAGAAGTGTGGGTAAGCTGAGGACCTACCACTTACGACTGGTGTCTGAATTTGGGGCGGCCTTGCGGGAATGAGCCCTTAACCCGTGGGGTCTGCACTAACTAGGTAGTTGGTGTCAGAATTAAACTACTGGACACCCAGTTGGTGTCTGAAGAGAGCTTGGAAATTGTGAAATGTGTGAAACCCCCACACATCTGGTGTCGGAAGTGTCGCGAGTGAAGAAACAGATCACAGGAGGGTTCTTCTGTTAAACACAACTTTATTACTTCAGGAGAACTACATGTCCCTTTTTTCGAACTGCTGAAAATTTAGGAGTCCGAAATGAGATGTTGTGCTACAAATATAAAATATATGCCAGATTTCAAGGCCTTACTATAAAGACAGAATATGAGATACCACCCATTCAGAGTTTTGATATCGAGTACACGATTAAATGGTAGTATTTTAATATACTGGATTAAATACATGAAAAAAAATGTTTAACCCCCATCTGTATACTGATGTCTCTAAACTTTACATTCGTAGCCCAGACCCCTCTCTTAAGCTCCAGAGCAATACACTCAGCGGCACACCTCACATTACCCATCAGATACCCACGAGTAGTACCTCAAACGCTTCCAGGCACCCCTGGAAGCCCAGGGGTGGAGCCCACATCTCAGGGCCCCCCCCCCGGTTTCTATCCCCACCGCAACCCATCGGCAAGCCCGCTCAATCCCACCCGTAACACCATGAACCCCGTGCTGCCCCTCAGTCCCCCCGCCCCCGCCAGCAGGACCTCTGACCTCTATTCCTGCAACAGCATCAATCATCTCCCTGCCCCCTGCCGAGCCTCCACAGAGAAAGAAAACTTAATACTCAACTCTCCAAAGCCTTGCCAGTTCTCTCAGACATAATCCAAATTCCTCGCTGGGACCCGCAAAGCCACTGAGACCTGGTCCCCGCCTTTCTCTCCAGCCCCATCCTCTCCCTGGCACAGGGCTGGACACCAGGTGTCCTCACCGGTCCTCGCACTCGCCACACCCCTTCCTGAACCTGCCGTTCCTGCTGCCTGCACACTGTTCCCCTAGACCTCCGGGCTCACCTGCCCCCACACCTCATCGAGACCTGCTCAGACAACACCTCCTCGGCGGGCCCTCCCTCGTCCGCCTAGCTAATAAAACACACCCTCCCTCACCCTCACCCCAGGCACTAAGCCCTCGCTCTGCTTTTTTCCTCATGCACCCCCGGTCACTAATATTACACGGCAGCCCCTTGTTTGACTGTGTCTCATTAATCCATGAGGTCCCTGAGGGTGGGGACCTTGTCTCATTCCTCGCTGTTAACTCCAGCGCCAAAAACAGTGCTTGGCAAGTAGCAGACACTTTGTAAATCTTTGCTGATGGGTAAATACAAACTACCCGCTTCCTATCCGACCTACTGCTCCACCGTGAATACCTCGTGCTGGCCAAAGGACTTGTCTTGAGATTTGCCTAATAATATGTTCTTTAAAACCAAGAAACAGGAACGTGCTGGGACGAAGAGAATCTAGAAATACCAGGTTGTCTGGAATACAGGGATGCATCTGAGAATCAAGCAAGCATTTTAATGAAACATCTTTGTATCTGAGCTAATTAACGCAATCTTTTTTTTTAAAATCACTATTTCTGTATATAGCTCTTCACATCCAAGTCCTAAAAGCTGCCACCTGCAGGGATCTGAGACGCTAATTTTATTTAAGGCTTGGTTTGCAAATATGCTTCACGGCTTGCCCCCGCCACTGGCTGTCCTCACCACACAAGTGTTCTGCTTCAAAGGCCATTACTAAACGTAGCTGGAAAAGCAGCTCGAGGATGTCCTAACGGGAGAAATGCCTGTTGGTGGCAGCAGGGATCACCTCTCCAGAGCCTTCACTCCCGTGAAAGAAAGCTGTGTGAAATGCCAGTTGTTCCCATCAGTCACTCAGGTGGCAGAGAGTCACCAGAAAGCTTACTCTCAACGGTACCCCTCGTGGATAAGACCCGTCGCTCAGAAGGGCAGCCAGTAGCAGGATACAGCAGGCATACCCACCGGGCACTCCCGAGCCAGGCTGGGCTGGGCGTGCTCAGGGGCCCAGCACAGCCCTTCCCTGCAGGAGTAGAGTGTACTGCGGGACCAACTATAATGGAAACAGGACACGGGATGGAGCAAGGTGGCCACGAGGGACCCCAGGGCAGGAAGGACAGCCCTGCCTGAAGAGGTACCAGTGAACAGAGGTGCAACACACACACGTGGGTCACACTTATCCCTCCGACATCTCAGCAACTAGAACAGGGCTCTGGGGAAACGCCACAGACAAAAAGAAGGCATCATTCCATGGCCAGGCTTGGTACAAATGATTTTCTCCTTTCGTCCCAATCTCTACATCCCTCTTAGAGGCCTGGAGAGATACTGAAATAGGTTGGAAAGACTCCCTTTGGGTAACCTTCGACCTCTTCTACTTAACTTGCCAAGATAAGCTTCTATATTGGAGTTTCTCAATTACTAGTTGCCAATGACACGCCCCAGTCATGACAATCAAAGATGGCTCCAGACATCGCCACATACACCATGGGGGGCAAAACCGCCACTGAACGCCAATGATGTAGAGGAAAGGGAACTCAGTAGCCCTGTCTGCAGCCCTAGAGGAAGGGTACTCGCCTGCCACTTTAAGAAAGGAAAGCTCAGGGCCAAACTCAGGCTCCTTCTCAGCCCCGCCTCCACGGGCCCTGCTGTCTGGTGCCAGCCAACTTCCAGGTCACATAGGCCGGCGGCCCTCTGCACCGTGGACCCCCTGCACCGCGGGCCCCCTGCACCAGGGCCTCTGCACCACTGGCCCCCTGCGCCAGGGCCCCCTGCACCGCCGGCCCCCTGCACCGCGGGCCCCCTGCACCGCCAGCCCCCTTTCTGTGAGCGCTCCTCACCCCCACAAACCTGCCCATCTCTCAGCCCCTCCTCCCACTGCTACCTCCACCTGTGATGAGCCTTCCTCTCTTTCAAAACTCTGCTCATGGGCTTCCCTGGTGGCGCAGTGCTTGAGAGTCCGCCTGCCGATGCAGGAGACGCGGG